GATTAGATTACAGATTAAATATAACCAAGACATCTTTGTTTAATCAAAATCACTAATAGCTAAGGATACTATAATAATATGACGTCATATTTAATTAAAATAATACTTATAGATAGCTTCCCGTTTCCCCTTTCTGTTGCTCATAAAAATTCCGCAACTCCAAATCACTTCAACTTCCTGTGGTTTCCCTTTTTTCTGCACTTTGCTTTTCTCTTGGCTCATCCGCAGACATAATCTCGGTCTGTCTAGACAGACGAGCATGTCGACGAGGCGGCTTTTCTGCGATGAGGTGACTCAGACTTTATAAATTTAATTATGACATTACTTATTATGCGACTCTTGCCTCGTAGCACTGCCTGCGACTGCATGTGGCAGCAGGAAAAATAAAGGCAATCCAAGTTATTTATAAAATCTGACAGCTGATGACAAATTAACAGGCGGCTGGAAAAAAATATATCTGAAAGTGAGTCCCGAAAAACCTCCAGACCCAAAGTGTGGGCGACTCGTGTCTCTGCGAGGGGCTTTGGCCAGATATCGAGTATCACAAAGCTCAGCCCAGAGCCACTCAGGCGTAACTAATGAGTGCGATATGAAAGGAGATCCCCAAAACCCCCGAAACCCCAAACCGAACCGGAAAATCTCTTTTGAGCATGCGCAGCATTCGGAGCAGTGTTGGTTAACTCTGTGGCACTCTGTGGACAAACATTGACTCGAAGGCAAAAGCCGAAATGCATTTCGAGTGATTGGCAAACACGGCCGACCATTTGTCCCCTTTCCCATCTAATGGTCTCAGTGCTTTTCTGGCTAATGGGCAAATGGGAATTTCGACGCCTTTTCGTGCGCTTTTCGTGCTTTGATTGCAAGTGCCCGATAAGAGTGTTTTTTTGACTCGTAAATCGTGATAATTATCGAAGCACAAGTGCAGCAACGAGGGTCGCCGAACATTTTCATGGCTTCGTGGTGCTTATTAAATTATTAAATGCACCGCTACACGAAAAGATTTCGCTGCCAGCTTACACAATTCCGATTCTTGATAAGATAAGCCCAAAAGTCAGTCTTTTGGGCGCTTAATTAAGAACTTGAAGCCTAACGACTGGCTGTAGTTGACCTTTGATTCTCTGAAGCAATTGGAAAATTTTGATTATTTTTAAATTGATTGTATGTCTCTTATATGTTACTATTTCAAGCGAATATAATATTATTGCTTAATTTATGTTTTTATCCATTAGAAGTATTGTTACTAATCCAAAGAGAACATAGCTTGCCTCGGCACATCACTTCCCAAAAGAATAATCTTGCATAGATACATCATCTTCTCCTAAGATCGTTATGGATGCATATTTAAGAATTAGATCCAAACGCAATGCGTTAAATTCAACACTTATTTGGGAATTTCACACTCAAAGCTTGAAAAGCCTTTGGTTCCTGGTAAGCAGTTTTCTTTCCTTTCGCAGCCAAGATGAACCCAAACATCCGCTAAAAGAACTTTTCCCCGATGGGGCAGGTGACAATTTCCGTCATACTTGTATTTTACGATACTCTATGGGTGGTTTCTTAGTTCTGGGTTCTGGGAGGGGGCGGTACTGGTTTTGAGGTACTTGAAAAATTAATGTACCCGGTCGGTGTTGGCAGCCGAACGCTTGACTTGTCCCCGGAGGTTCGGGAAAATGCATAGACAAATGTCAAATATTTATTGAAAATAAACAAAACCGGCTAACAAATAAACAAACCAACAAACAAGGCGACGACGACGTCGGCGAGACGGGCCGGCGAGTTGCGTCAACAGATTTCCGAGAAAAGAAATAAAATGAAGGAGCGAAGAGCATGGGCATCAAACTGACCAGAACTGAAGACGTTTTGGACATGCTTCAGTGCAGCGCAGCTTTGGCTAAAAGCCGGGCAACAGTGGGAACCGAATGGGCCAAGACTGGAATGGAGCTGCGGATGGATGGATGGATCTGCTGGGTTCTTATGGGGGGGCCCCGTCAGTGGGTGCTTCAAGAGCGAAGGAACACATGCTCCGTCCACCATAGCACCACAGTTGTCTCCTCCTCCAGGTGGCTACCGGCTTTTCCCGACGACGACCACGACGACGACGTGTTCGAGTGGCATCCAGTCCGCGTTCTCGGATCCATGTTCGCCATGTCTGGAGCTCTGTTCGAGTTGTGTTTTGAAAAAAAATATTTATCCATGCCCGGTCTGGCCTGGCCGCTGATCGCGATGATGATGTTCATGCTGCTCCGCGGGACAATGTGGTCGATGACTCCGCTGGGTTATGCAAGTAATGCTTGATTTGGTATTGAAGACTGGTAGCTGCCACTCACTCAACTCTGTCGTTTTGTATTGTTTGAATGAGTCACACAGCGGCAGGAGCGATGTGTGGGAGATGCATTTGAACTTTGAATACTTTGACCACTAAGTGATTATAATTTGAGTATAATCAGTATTAAATTCAATACAAATACATTAACAAGTGCATCCTCCTCTTAAATTAAGAGTCCTTGACTGCGAGATCCTAAATCCAGTTGTGATCACAGTTCTTGCCAAGAGTTTTTCGGACAGAAAGCTACCAAAAGCCACTATTTAAACTAAAATCTTCAGTTAGTTTGCAATTTTCAAAATTGGATTAATTGGAAGTCACTGTGAAAGAAGGTTGAACATCCTTCGATTCGTTGCAAAATCCAAGCCAGCATCTGCCACATTTCATCCGTATCGATGTGGCGCACAAAGTACGGAAATATTTGCACTATTTTTGGTCTGGTTTGCCGGGAACTTGCTATCTTGGCCAAGTTGGATGCCCTGCTTGTTTGCCTTGTGGCCAATTATGCACACAAACACACAGCTGGAGGTAAAAATTACAGAGGAGTGGGGCATCCCCCGACTCAAACTCCATTTCAAAGGCCAGCTGCTTATTAAGTCGTTGGATCTGTGCTCCAACTTCAAAGATTGCAATGGGAATGAACCTCCACCGATTGCGGTTCAGGGATTGATGGAATGGACAAGCTGCTGTTACGGTAATCTCTAGTTAGTCGGCAATCGAAGTGCTTCCTGTTGAAGGAGCATGATTCTCTCATCCAATCATTTTTTTTCTTCTCTGCCTCTTTTGCATAAATAAATTGCGTTCCGCTTGTATGAAAATAATGATTTCCAGTAGCCGAAAAATTTAATTTAAATTCAATAAGGGAAAGGAAAGCCCAAAAGGGGCGAAACATCTCTCCTCGGTTGGGTGACGAAACCAAATTTTATGCATTTCAACGGGGAGCTACCGAAGACCGAAAAGGAAGGATGATTGCTGGGATGACTTGGCGGATGACTCGGAATGGAAGGCAATCAAAATGTTGGCCATAAATAGGCTCCTCTGGAGAAGGAGACTCTTTGACTTTGCGCAACTTTTCGGCCAACGGCTCAATTACCAAAAGGGCGACAATGAGAAGGAGTTGACGAAAATGACGTTGGGGCTTTTAAAATTAATGGAATATTCGTATAAGCATTAACCAAAGAAACCATAAAATAACCAGGGACTTAATAACAGAGGCCCAAGACAAAGAATATGCATTTTAAACATAGGTTTTGGGTAAATTGTGGTAACAAATATATGGACTTGGTTAAGAGTTAAGAGAATAACTTTCACTTTGTTTGCAGTGACTGGAAAAGATACAAATGTGAAAACTAGGCTTTAAAGCGATCAATATGAATGTGTTCAAGTCACAGAGAAAAAACCAAGACAACATTGCCCCGGGCAAAGTTCAGGCATAAAGAAGTGTTAAAAGCATGAAAGAAAGAAAAACTTATCGGCAGCTGTCAAAATCGCCTCCCGAACCGAGAAGAAAACCGGCAAATGGCATTTAAATGTTTTGACAAATGACAAATTTGCGGTAGCCAAAACAAGAAAAAAGAGAGAAGTTAAATAACTGTTCAGTGTTGAGTGTTGAATGGAGGACCCGGCCACTGGAGGCTGCGGGCTGGAGTTGGCCTTTTCAACAACGTCTGCGCGGTGTTGCAAGTATTTCTAGGCCTCCAAGGCCCCAGCTATCCCACCCTTCGATACACCCAGACTTCCAGTGAATATATTCACGTTTTCCGCGCTGACAGCTTAAGTGAGAAAAGTTTTGCTGATTAAATGTTGTGACAAATTGAAAGCGCCACCTAATAAAACCCAAACAGTTAGTCAAATTTGGGGGGGTTATTGAAATGGAAACGAATTGGATATTTCTCATAGTTTGCTTATATTCCAGCAATATTTCAAATCAAACTTAAAGTTAATAATAAATAACAGTTATAACTCTTACTTTAAGACTTGTGAAGGCGGCAACATTTGCCTTTTCATTACACACTTAACCCATTGTAAGGCAAGTCTCAAGTTTCCCGGACAAACTTTTCTCATTCGCCAAAAGTTTGTTTAGTAATCCTTCCATATAGCTTACATATATGCCATTTTCCTGCAATTACGTCAACATTTTTGTGTTGTTCGCAGAAGTTTTGTGTTGACAATTGCCAAAAAAAAGGAAAGAAAAGGACCGAAGGCAGCCTGGACTGGCAATTTGGAGCTACCAAAACATGCAAATGGCATACCAGGTCAACGTTTTGGGTCCCAGCTTCGGCTTAAACTGAAACTGCAACTGCACTGCAGCAGCTGCTGGTCAGCGATAAAGTTTATCTCGAGAGTTTCCCCATTCCATGGGATACTTTTGCAATCAATACGTCCTGTGGCACGAAGTTCAAAGCAATCCAGAACAGCTGCTCGCTAGGTGATTTATTGGCATCGCTGGCTTGAGGGCTTGTTCTCGACTTGTTCGGGTTGAGCAATTTAATTGATTGGCCTGGGAAAAACTGTCAGACTCTGGAGTAATGGTGTAGATTCTTGGAGAAATCCGATTGCATTTGTTTCGATTAAAAATTGCGTGATTGAGATTAATAATCTATTACACATATCATAAGAAAGGGTTTCCTGTAGATGAAGATCAAGAATTAATGCTCATTTATTGTGTGTATTCTTTTAGCCCTTCGCCTACTTAAAATGGATGACCTGTACTCCGGTGGAGGATCTTCAGGTGGATTGGGAGGCCTCTATCCGCCCCTCTTTAACGTGGCTCCCCGGGCTGAAATATCTGTGAATGCTACTTGTGGCCAGAATGGAGCAGAGGAGTACTGTAAGCTGGTCGATGCCTATCCCCATCGGAACTGGGCCAAGCAGTGTGGCACCTGCAACGCCCACTCCTCGGATCGTGCCAGGCAACGCTCAATTCAGTCGCTGATCTCGACGGGATCCGGACTCGAGGAGAGCTGGTGGCAGTCCCCAACGCTGCAGGGTGGCCGCCAGTTCGAGTACGTCACCATCACGCTGGATCTGAAGCAGGTGAGTCGAAGTGTCTCAGTGTCTCAGTGTCTCAGTGTCTCAGCGTCTCAGCTAATGCCAATGCCATCCCAGGCTAAGCTCTTTTGACAGTCGAGCTGTGATCCAGTTTGTAATTAAGCCGCTGGGCTGTCACTCATTTACAAGCGATTTAACGCCAGCTCCGTGATCCATCTGGATACATATATTGAGACTTTGAAATATGATCTGCCCGATGACAGGCTGGGCCTGAAACCCGTTCGATGCCCATTCGATTCTAATGCTCAAAATGGCTAACATAAATTGGATTTGATGGAGTTTTGATTAAGTCGTATTTGCTTACATAAAGACGGCATCAACCGATACCTTCACTTATCCAACTAATGGGGAACAAGCTTTCATTTCCGGCATATAATTAGGAGTTATGACCTCTGCTCAACATAAAGTTGGTTACTTTAAAGGTATTTCAGAAATCTGTGATAGTATTTTCTTGCCAAGACTTTTACCTCGCGTAAAATAAAGATGCTGCAGATGCAGCTTAACTCGTCTTTAAACAATTACCTTAATTAAAATGGCACAGACCTCCCCGAATCGAAAAACCGTATTTTATTTCACACTTCCCATGGATCTTTACATTTCGATTGGGTGCTAATCGTTCTCCGATAGTGTTAATTGGAACTTCAAAGTGCACTCACCCACAATGGATCGCCCTGAAACGCTGATCTTGCCATCACAGCTTCCGATCTCTCATGGGCTATAATGTGCTGAAAAATAAGAAGAAATTGAATGGAAAATATATCATCTGCTTAGCATCAGCCGACACAAAGTTGACATACCAAGTGCAGCTTGCACTCGAGTTTCCGAGAGATATTCCAGTGTTTTGATATAATTCTTTCACTGCCACATGCCCCAGAATGGGGCCCAGACCATCGCAAAGGCGAAGGCGAAGCCATTGAGCGTTCACTTAATTAAACGAGGGACAGCCCAAGAAAGGGGCACATCCACGGGCTGGAAGTGATTTAAAATTAAAAACATTGTTTTTGCATATGCCGTAAAGTATGAAAGATTTATGACAGCCATACGTTGCTCTCCGGGTTTATTAATAAATTCCTGCGCGTATATTGTACAAAGGGGAAGTCTACCGACAGCCACAGAAATATTTAAATTGGTCTCTGCACTTAATTAACTCTGACAGTGCCTATTTCTAGTTGGCGAAACAATATCCGAAAATGTCAAACCTTTTATGGCATCTGCCTTAAGGTTGTATATGTCAACATACTCTTTTTTAAGTGCATTCAACGAATCCTGAACTACATTTTTGGCCAGACACCGACAACAAAATTTATAGGTTCCCATGATTCTTCACTCGAATGGGAGTCGAATGAGAGGCATGTGTCAGAATTTACACGCTCCCATTCCTCTGATTTGCTTGAGTGACGAGGAATATTCACAGAATGTCATGGAAATGGATTTAAATCACATCGATGTGTTGGATTTATTCCATAGACCAACGATCGGAAATGGTTTTCAAACAGAACAATGTTTTTATTTCCTAAATTCAACGTTTTAGATAAGACGATTGTGATTCCCTTGAAATAAAAAGATGTTTTATATAAAGTATAAATATTTGTATTAAGGAATGTTAAAAAAGAAGTAGATTATTGTATACATAATATACGAATATACTTAAGAACCTGCTAAAACCCAACTGATGTCTTTTCCATTTGATGAACACAAACATTCTCAGCTCCTCGGAAAGTTTACTAATTAGCCATCTTGAAAATTAAGTGTTCTGTGTTATTGTGGCTATGGAAATACTCTGAGCATTTGTCACAACTATTTAGAAACACATTAGAGGGATCTCTCTCTGTTTTCCCCCCCAAAAGCTATGCCACAATTTATGACCTCCGACGAAAACTTGACATTGACGTCGGTCTCTGTTCATGGGCGACAAAATTGGGATTTTGAGGCGTGGATTTTAACAATTAGACTAATCGAGTGATTTACACAGGCAGTGAGAAACAGGAAAAAGATAGAAACGACAGGCGTGTGTCAACAATTTGACAGTTTAAAATATTTCTTCGCAGACTCCGGCAGTCCTGGCGGACCGGTCAGAACCATGGTATCTGGTATGTCTGTCGGTCCGGCTATATGTATCTTTTGTCAGCCAAGTCATTCAGCCAGTCTGTCAGCTTGGCAGTAAGCAGTCTGTCAGCCTGTCTGTTCGTACAACAATGTCTAGATTTATGCCTGAATGGCTTTGGGGCGCGCGAGACTAATTGAAAGTCTAGCGAGAGTTCTGCGAGCATCCACAGCAGTGGCTCTCGAACTGTAAGAGGAGTTTTGAACACAAGTATTCATTTTATATGCTCTAGAATATAGTGTTGAATCTACCTTAGATCAAATATGTTTTTAAGAAGGTAGAATTTAATATTTTGGCTTAAGACATGATCTTCCTTATTACATAAAGTTTCAATTGTATCTTTTCTGTTTGATGACAACCAAGTTGGTTGACCAGTCTTCGAAATCCATGTATTTCCAATTTGAAATGCTTAGTGTTTAGTTTGTTTTTTGTGTATCTCTCCGATACAGACACTTAATTGCTTCATTAAATTTAGCCAAATTTGGCCAACAAATAAAGTGAGTTGAGAGGGAGAGATAGACCGTGGGTCCGGTCACTATAGGCCTCGCAATGGGTTTTCGTTTCGTAACTGTAATTCAAATGTTTGACAAGTTGTTGCAACATGTGCAGCGCCAAGAGCAACGGCAGCAACAAGCAAAGCGTGCAACAAGCCACGTACGAGACGCATTTTAGGCACAGCAATTATTTTAATGGTCAATTTATTTATTTGTTTGGCTGCGATTTTGGCGTTTTTTTCGACATTTTTCCCTGAATTTGCCTTTTAAAGAATGCTTCCTCAGTTGCCTGAGCTGCCGCGGCATTTATCTGCATTTGCATGAGTTTCCTGCAAGTTTCTTTCTTGTTTTATTTTTTGGTTTTGGTTTTGGGTTGGGTTGTGACTTTAACGTGATTGAAGCCTCGCTTGAAATGTTTTCATGTAATTTACCAGGAAGCGAAATTTATTTGAAATGGTTGATGTAGAAAGGGAAATGATTAATTAATGAAGGAACTCGATTGTTTTTAAGAGAATTGTTCAAACCATTCTGATTTTTATTTGAGCCCAATTTACAAGTTCTTCTATTACAAATTTATGAAATTTATGGCCTTATTACCCTTTCAATAGCAGCTACTATACATATGTCCATTTTGCCACTAAAATTTGATTTGGCCTTTAAAGTTATATATTCTAATTTATTGTCAATATCAGAGTATTGTATTTATTTATTTTTAAATTTAAAATATATTTTAATTGATATTCAGGCACTACAAATTAATTTAAATGAATTTATTCTATAAAAACTTATTGAAATATTTTTTTCATCCCCTTTAACACTTAATTTTTTCAGGCCTTGTCTTCTTGAGTATTAACAATTTCAAAAGATAATGAATAATGGTTACTATGTGCATTTTGCCGCTGAAATTTACATGGCCTTCAAAGTTATATATTCTATTTTATTATAAGGCTGATATTGTTGTTATTACTTGATATATTTCAAAATTTGTATAGATATTTCTATGGTTTTTCAGGCACTAAAAAATATATTAACACCATTTATTCTGTGTGCACTTGTTTCTTTATGTTCGAACTATTTCTTTTCAAGTAAATGGTTTTAACATGTATGTAAAATTAGATAAAACTATGAACTGGATTAACAACTCCACTTGTTAAAAGTCAAATAGTATCTAATACATATTTGAGGTGCAGCTGTGTAACAATTCAAAACCACATTCTGCCTAAGCATTTAAGCGTTAAGTTTATCCTAGAAACCTCAACTCAGAACACTCACATTTTTCTTGAAATTCAAACAAGTTGCTCAAAACATTACTCATTCTTGAGCCGCATTAATGCGCCAGTTTTTTAGAGATAAAACTGAATGCAGCAGACATAAAACTTTTCGATTACTTCAGTGTGAGCTACCAAACACGTCGAAGAGTCTCAGACTGTCAGATAGAGGAAAAAGTAAGAAAAACTTGGGCAAAAACACACTAGCAACATGTCTGACATGTGGGTTCATTCACCATGTTATCTAAAAGCGTGCCAACACACAAAAAAGCGTTCGAAAAATAAAAGATTCTGTTGCCACAAATGAGGCGGAAAACTGCATAATTTGCCAAAAAAATATACTCAAATAAAATGCTGTCTAGCAGACTAGCCAGCAGACCCAAATAAAATTAAAAGCAAAGCCCTAAATTTGTTGTCTTTTATTTTTGGTGTTTCAGTCTGTCTACTTCAATTTTTCGCCGGTTTATTTTCGAAATTTTACGATGTCATGAGTTTTTCCCTTTTCTATGTCTGTGTGTTTTTTTTGGCAATTAACGGAGCGTCCGTGTTAGTTTTTTGGGTTCCTCGTGCGGAGGAAGTTTCCTGTCAGCTGTGCCTGATGGACTTTCTTCATTGAGCGATAAATATTTGATTGCCATAAATGTTAATTCGTGTAATTTACGACATGCAATGCTCCCTCTCCCTCGGTCTCTTCTAGCCAGTTTCGTTTATCAACTCAAATTATCACCGTAACTTCTCATGGCAAATTAAGTTGTCTCGTCTGAATATTTTAGCAATTTGGTTAGAGTCTCAAGCCGACTTGACCTTATCAGTTGACAAGCATCTATTTGGCAACAGGTTTATTCCCTCTCGAGGATCCTCAATCCGCTGACCAAATATTTGTATACAAAGAGTGATCTTCATCGCTGTGTTGTTGTTGTAAACAAGTTTGCAGTTGTTGCCGTCAATTGGTCCAAACTGATAAAAACGTCAAAGCGTTACCCTTGAGGCCATCACCTGCTGCCTCTCTGATTGCAATCTACAACGATTTTCACATCTCCACAGGGAAGAAGGAGGCCTCTTCCTTTATCTGAAACTTGTTCTCGTTCTTCGGCCATCGGGAAATCAGTTCGGAAGCTGAGCTCGGGATGCTGCAAAGCTGATTGCAATCAAGACTTGGGACAGAAATTTGATGGGGACAACGTAATTCACCAGAGATAACTTATCTCAGCTATTCGAATGTGTCAGGTTCAGTGGCTTCTTAACGGATAATCGGAAGTCTGCAGTAAGTTTGATACTGTCAGTTAATTTAGTTTAGGAATTTGGAAATACTTAAATATTTTATTTATATGGCCTCTCCACAAAAGATTCTCCACCTCCGACATGCTTTGACATGCAGGCGCTGTGTGACCAGCTTTATTACTTTTACTTGTACAGTCTCCTTCTCTTATTTATTTCTCTAATTTAATTAGCTTAACATACTTATATCAGCCATAATCGGAAGTGTAGTCAGTTAGTTTAGTTGAGGAAATTTAAAATACTTAAATATATTATTTATATAGTAGTTCCATCGCCTCTCCTCAAAAGATTCTTCCCCTGGAACATGCTTTGACATGCAGGTACTGTGTGACCAGCTCTATTACTTATCCTTGTACAGTCTCCTTCACTTACTCCTCTAATCTTATCAGTGTGACAGGCGCAGTTGTAGCTGTAATCAAATACAGGCGGCAACCAGTATGGCGAACGCCTCTCCTCTTTTGACTTCTTGTGTGTATTTGCATTTTATCAGCCCGGGCAAATCGGTAAAATCTGTGTGTGCGACGATGCCATTAGCTACTTAGTGAGTTGCGGGTAAACAAGTGGCTTTGAAATTCGATAGAGTTGCTTTTTATTTTATCTCGGTGGCTTATGATGACTGGTAAAAAATGTTGAATCTGAAAACGAAAAACTTAAATATAATACGCGTACCTGGTTGAATGGCGCCGTTTGGCCGGCCTAAGTCAATGCGTCGTAATCAATTATACACCTGGCCACACCTTCGACACAAGCCGCCCGTCGGAAAATTCAATTGCATGCCTTTTATTGATTTTTTTAAATTTTGGTCTGTCCCGGGTTTTGTGTGGCGTTTTTGGTCGCTGATCTTCGATAGGCGCAACATTTTCAGCGTCTCGAACACGCGACGTTTTTGGCATTTCGCTTTTTTTGTTTTTGTTTTTATAACTCCCCTGCCGCCCCCTCCAATAATTTTTCCAAATATCGTTTGTCAGCCGTGGCTGCCGGCCACTTTGAAGGAGCCACAGTTGGGCGGCTGGCTTGGAGGGTTGCGGTTGGTTGACAGTCTGGGAAATTTATGACGCGGCAATGGAAATGTTGGGTTGAAAGATTTCGCAGTACTAACATACTACGGGGCTTCAGCACAGATACCTCGAATGAACGCAGTTTGTTGGTAGTCACAGATGCAAAAGATATTGCTGAATAGAAACATCAGCTGGTGACAGAAACATTGACATTTGGGTGCGTTGATAATTTATAGCTCATGGGCCCAGTGGCTATAAAGCCGTAATGCCGAGGTGTGAAGGCAGACAAGTTTTGTGGGGAGAGAAAACATGGATTGCAGGGGAAATATGATATGAAAGCTAACACATTGATATTTAAAAATATTATAGTTATTTTGGTACATCTTAAGATGAGAACATTAAATCATTAAAGCAGTAAACGGATCATGAGATCGCCTCGGTTTGGCATTCTTCCATAACGACTCACTTAAAAGAGCGAGTTGCCATAATTATAATCATATTTTATCTTGAGATTGAAAACCTTTTTCTCATTATATTATTATATTTTCACCTCTTCCATTGAAACTTATGTAATCTCCGCACTTTCTATTACTTTCAGACCTATCAAATATTTTTTGTGCTGCTAAAATCGGCCAATTCTCCCCGTCCTGCATCCTGGATTCTGGAGAGATCCCTGGACGGCATTAAGTTTGAGCCTTGGCAGTACTTTGGCCTGAGCGATGCGGACTGCAGGCGTCGATGGAATCTGCCCGGGCAGAATGGCAAGTACGTCTTCCAGAACGACACCGAGGTTATCTGCTCCACGCAGTTCTCTAAGCCGCTGCCGCTGGAGAACGGGGAGCTGCACGTGTCGCTGCTAAAGAATCGACCAGGTGCCACCGACCAGAGTCCCGAGCTGATGGAGTTCATAACCGCTCGTTACCTGAGGATACGCCTCCAGGGAATGCACTCCACAGCGAACCTGGACAACAGTGTGGACTGGCTGTTGGACTCCGCCTCGCTGGAGAAGCGTAGCTTCTACTCCCTGAAGCAGCTGAGGGTAAGCGCCCGTTTGGACTGCCATGGCCATGCGAATCGCACCCAGGAGTCGCCATCGGACCCCCTGATGCAGTGCGTCTGCCATCACAACACCTGCGGCAGGCACTGCGACGAGTGCTGTCCGCTCTTCCAGGATCGACCCTACCGAGTGGGGGAGAGTGCGAGATCTGCCAGTGCAACGGCCATGCCGAGAGATGTGCCTACGACGCCTTCCTGGACAAGGGCATCTGCCAGAACTGCTTGAATCACACTGCCGGCAACGAGTGCGAGTTCTGCGAAGGTGGCTACTACCGTGAGCTGGATGCCCCGCTCACCAATCCTTGCCTGCCCTGCTCTTGTGATCCCAAACGGTCCACCGGATACTGTAAGCCGGAAGGCGGACACTGTCACTGCCTCGAGGGCTTCCAGGGCAAGAGCTGTGAGAAGTGTGCTCCGGGTTACTACGGGGAGACCTGCAAGCGCTGCGAATGCGATGAAAGGGGAACCACTGCATCCGATGGATCCTGTGCGGACAGTTGTCAGTGCAAGGCGAATGTGGAGGGCAGCACCTGCTCTGAGTGCGCCCCCGGGCACTTTGATCTGAGCAAGGAAAATCCTCTGGGATGCACCAGTTGCTGGTGCTCCGGTGTTTCACAGACATGCAGCAGTGCCAAGCTCCAGACATTGGCATTTGAAACACTGAACGACTGGAAGCTAACGAACATCCAGAGATTGCAACCAATACCGATACCCGTGGATGCCGAACAAAACCGTCTGATTTTTGCCAACGAACTGGACGAAATGGAGGCCATCTACTGGCAGGCTCCAGTGGGATACTTGGGCAACCGCCTGACCAGCTACGGAGCACGGCTTCATCTACTGCTCTCCTGGTATGTGCTGCGAGGCGATACTTCGGGTAAGCCCACCACGGGACCCAATGTGATTCTCTGGGGAAAGAACGGACTGAAGATTGCCTTCGGGGACGAGTCCTTCGAGGGATTAGAGGCCAGCCTGAATATCTCCCTAACCGAGGAGGGTTGGTATCACGTGCCTCCCTCTGTCAAGGATATTAAGACCAGACTGCGACGTACAGAGGATGGCGATTATCATGGAGAGCCCGTCACGAGGTCGCAATTCCTTTCCGTTCTCGTCTCGCTCGACGCTATCCTCATTCGCGCCGCCTTCCACACTGACCAGGGGGACACTTCCCTAAGACGGGCTGTAATCTATTCCGGTGGCGTGGAGCTAGGAGGTCAATCATCTAGCCAAGTGGAGCAGTGTCTGTGCCCCACCGGATACACTGGGCTCTCCTGCGAAGGTTGCGCCTTCGGATTCAAGCGCATCTACGAGAATACCTCGGATCACCAACTGCTGAGCAAGTGCATCCCCTGTCCCTGCAACGGTCACTCGAACTCCTGTGATTTGCAGAGTGGAAACTGTGGCGATTGTATGCACAATACTTTTGGAGATCGGTGAGTAACAATGGAAAACTTATCCTAAAATTATAAAAAAAATTTTACTGAATATAGTAATAACACATATATGGATTGATTAATCAAAATGGCTTATTTTGAGAATACTTTTTATTTAACATCACTAACAACACTAAACAAAAGTCCTATTAGATTCTTTCCGGAACAATTAATAAGATACATCTTCTATGAAAAAGATACATTCCACAAAACACGATACACACATAGCAAAGTCACGAACCACATATGAGGTTGACGCGCTGAATTACTCACCACAGCTAGCTAGGACAAGTACCAGACAGTTTAGCCGAGACGCCACTCGAACTTCAACGATTTCTTTTCAAAACTGTGAGCGCATCCAGTTGCCTTCCAACTGTCTGTTAACAATTCTACACTTATTCGATTTATTCAAACTCACTCTCAGACTGCCTTCTAACCATTTACATTTTGATTTTCTTTTTTATTTCAAACAGAAATTAATTTGTTTCAATGTTTTAAGGGACTAAACATTTCTGCTTTGACTGACTCAACTAATAAATTATGTATCTTGAAGTATCTCAATCTGGTCTTTTCTGAAGTTAAATAACTACCAAAGCTAACAAAGTTAGCTATTAAATTAAATTTAGTCAGCGTTAAACCTGTAATAAAGAATATGTTCTCAGAGATTACATCAAAATTTTAATTCATGCAATAAGGACGTCCTGACGTGGCTTTATACATCATTTTATGCTGCTCAAACAAATTCATTTTTTGATACATACTTCATTTGCATAACATTTGGTCTTAACTTTTAATAAATGTATATGATCTATAATAACCTTATACAGAAGTAGTGTAAACACCACCCTCAAGACACTTAAATATTTTCATCTTTCAGGTGCGAACGTTGCCGATTGGGCTTTTATGGGAATCCCCTGCAAGGCACCCCGCACGACTGCCGGCGCTGCGCCTGTCCCCTGTCCGAGGACTCCAACAACTTCTCCCCAAGCTGTCAGCTGAAGAGCTACAACTACCGAGACTTGAACCCACAGTTCGAGCTCATCGAGCACGCGGAGTACATTTGCACACAATGCCCGGAGGGCTACACGGGGGACCATTGCCAGGTGTGTGACGATGGCTACTTCGGGGATCCCCTCCAGTTGGGGAGCAGCTGTCAGCGCTGTGACTGCGCCGGCGGTCCCTGCAACGTGACCACCGGCGAGTGCATCACCTGCAGGGGCAACACCGAGGGCTGGCACTGCGAACGCTGCCGCATGGGCCACTGGGGTGACCCAGCCGTGGGTTGTGAACCCTGCCTCTGCCATGCCGAGGGATCCGAGAGCGGGCTTTGCGATAGCACCGATGGCCAGTGCCTGTGCCGCCCGAGATATGCGGGTCAGAAGTGCGATGAGTGCGCTGCCGGCTTTGCCCACGTGGAGCTCCGGTGCCCGGCCTGCAACTGCGATCCCCTTGGCTCGGAGGTCCGGGACAGGTGCGACCCGAGGACCGGACAGTGCCAGTGCAAGGAGGGCGTGATGGGTGTCAAGTGCCACGAGTGCCGGGATGGATACTTTGGCATGAATGCCACTGCTGACCGACTGGAGGACCTGGCAGCCTTGCGGCAAAGCAATGCTGATGGCGATGGCGAAGACGACGATGATGAGGATGAATGGGAACTGGTTCCAGAGCCTGAGGAACAATACGCGGTGGCCTGCGAGGGTAAGTACTCGAGATTACAGCCTAGAACAAAGGGATGCCTCAAATGAACTTGCTCCCAAATAAATCGAGAGCATCTATCGAAACCAGATGTGGAGCGTGCCAGAAGGTGGGCAGTCCATCAATATCTTGGAAAACATAATTCAATTGGTGCTCTACTTTGTGCTGCCAAGTGATTCGCTTTCGAGGCTCTCCCCGTTGGCCTCGTTTCGAAGAGCTTAATGCACAAATCAGTCATGCTCTGGGTGGGATGTGCATCTGTTTCTTGTGGCAATTAAAATGCGGCCGATTGATCGAATGATCTTCGAAGGAAGTGATTTGACTTTAAAGCATTCAGAGATTCGTTATTAATTGTTTTGGGTAGTAATGAATTTACATGGAAACCATTAAGTTCTGTGAGGGATGTGCATCCGATTAGCTTTGAAATCAGTTGACTAATACCCAGTAATAATCATTACTTATTTGTTTAAAGTTCTTGGCAAAGTTCTTCAACAACATGGTAAAATAATAATAGTAATTAATCTGACATGCAATAAATTGCCTCTTAATTATATCATTTCATAAAGCTCGGACATTAACATTTTTCCTGAGGCCATTCCGACTTCAAATTCAACTCAGCCATCATTCAAAATGCATTACTAACACACCATTGTAATGGGATACTTTTTGTTGGCCGGTTCTCCTTGAAGTTGCTCTTTCTATCTTTTTTAACACCATTTACAGAATGGACAATGGGCAAAAACACGTCTCGGATAACCACTTGGCTTGTTTTGTTAACGAAATGCAGAAGGTGGCACAGTATGTTGTGTTCATTGAGTTGTACTTGAACAAGAACTCGGATTGCACAACCTCTCTCGAATGTCTTTTATTTTTCTCCCTATTTAAATGTACTTTTGTACCCGCATCTCGCTTCCCCGGGGGCTTTTCTTTATGTTTTCTAATTGTTGGCCTGTCATCTCTTTAGCATTGCACAATATGTTTTTATTTGTATCTTTTGACTACCGTTGCCGTTTTTCCTTTCCCAGCAGACAACTTCACTCTTCTGATTTTATGGTCTTTAGGTTTGGGAAAGAGTCTCAGATGGGTTTCCTTTATGCTGACTAAATGGAAGCTCTGAACTTGTAATTAAATTTCCAAGAATTGGTTGAAATTTACTTAATATTAAATGCTGGAATAATCAGCTTTATATCCACACTAATAATAATCTTTAGACAGTTCCTTGAAAAGAATGCTCTTAGCTTAAGTCCACATTTCCATTACCAACTTTGTCAAGCTGAAACCGCTTTAATCGTCAACAGTAGCACGTGCGTTTGGTCTTGAGCTCGCTGCAATATTTATAACCCACGCAGAAGATTGTGCAGCTATCGAAGAAATTAAGCAGCAAACTGCGAGATACATTTAGCCGGCGGTCATATTTTGTAATCAGTTCCATTTGCCGCTCACCAGCGGCCCCAGTAGCCCCAGACACACTTTCGTGTTGAGTGGACCACAGCAAAGTCTCAGACTCGGGCACAGACTGCATGGAGCCACGATGGTGTCCAGTTTTAGAGCCAGGCCCAGACCAAGCCGAGCCAGGCCAAAACGAAGCCAAGCCAAGCCACTTTGGCAATTCAAGCCGATCGGCATATTTTAATGGGGCTGTGGCTATGGCTGTGGCTGCATTTATTCCGCTGCTGTGACATTTTTATGGACATCGGAATGCTCTGGACGCAGACTCTGAAGCGAAACCCCGAAAAAACATTGAAAATTGCTAGCAAAATTCGTATCCACTTTGACTCTGCCCCTGTTCGCTCGAGGCAACTGATTAGCGAAACAATTTCAAATATTTGTGTTAAATACTTTGACAATTAATTGCATTTCGTGGATGCGGTTGCGTTTGTTGTGGTTTCGCCCAGGCAATCCAATCGAAATGAAGTTATACGTTTTATTTTTGTGTGGCATTGGCGGTGCCTTAAAAAGAGGCAATAAGTTATTTTGGGAAGATAATGGTAATTATCGTGGAAAAAAGAAACCCTCTTCAAATGTATTTTTCTCGAAAGTTAATGTTAACCGTCTCTGAAACACTAAATAGTTTTCTAGTTCCCTATATTTTAGATATATGAAGAATATGTGGAAATATCTCGAATCAATATTGATTATCAGGGGGCTATAACAAATGGCTTTGTGTGAGGAAGGGATTTCTGTGGCACCCCTGATTTTAAATCTCTTTAAAATGGTTTCATCGCTTTCAATTACTTGGAGTTATTTATATGTCATTGGATATAAAAAAAGCTAAAGATCGCACATATGTGAGCCATTTAATAGGCCTCAGTTCTCAAGTAGGCCAAGCCATTACAAAATTATGCCCACCAAAAAGAAATAATTGTACTCAAAATATTGCGGCAAGCGATGGAGTATCTTTTTCACCAAGCTGCAAAATGGTGAGGCTGAAAAATTGCCATGGCAAAGCGTCTTTATAGACACGACCAGTTGGACACAGACAGACAGTCTGTCCAAGGTAATCAAGAAGCGTATAAATGGACAAAATGGAGCAGCATACTCGGTCCAGTCTCCAGTTGTGGCTTTGGCCATTGGCCTGTCAACGCATCACTCGAAATGGAGCAAGAGGATCCTCGGAGGCAATAAATTTCAAATAATTTCCAAGCACATCAGCAAATGTGACATAAATCGCCGCAGTAACGGTAACGGATGCATGCAAAGCCAAAACATTGACACTAATGAATGTGGCCAACACAAATGTAATTGTCAAGTGACAATTTGTTTACAATTGCCAATGCAAAACAAACAAATACTCGAATTTATTGCTCCAATCAATTTTGTTCTACCTAAACTATACTCTTTCGACTAGCAGATACCCAAGGTCACACATTATTGATAATTATAGAAAATTTTATATGTCGCAATGTGTATTTTTAAGGAGTGAAGGAAGGATAGTCCAATTTATATATCGTTTAAAGTAAAGTCCTTAATTATATTATAAAGATTGCAAAAGTTTGATATATAAAAATTTAAAATTTGGAAACATATATGGTTGAAATATCGATATTATCGACATAATAAAACAAAAAATCCGAAATATGTAGTTATATAACTTTAGTTTAAACTTTTCATTGGAAAACTCCTACTTGATTTGGTTGATTTTTCCCATTTTTCGCAACGATAAAGTATCGATCTATCATCCTTCGTTTTAAATACAATATTCTCTGCTGTATATATTTTCTGCTATATATATTTTCTGTTTTTCCTACTTTCAAATTACAGAGATAAGGGAAATGGAAAACAAGGAAAACAGCATTAATATAATACTCATCATTATGCTTTATAAAATATTTGATAATTAAAAATCATGACATAGGGAAAATACCTTTTATATAATAAACCTTATAAAAAACATATTCTTAACTTAGCATATTTCAATTTATTGGAAGTCAGAAAGTGAGTTCAAAAGCTAAATACCCCTAAAATCATCATATAAATTGATCACCAGAGAGAGGAGGCTTTCAAACAGTAACCGGGTCATTATCGAAAACACTTTTCGGGGGCGCCGCGCAGGGGCAAGAAGTTTGGCATTTTGATTTTCTTATTTATGGCCCAGACTTTCGCTCCAATCGAAGGCCCGTCTCCTGCCGTCTCCTGCCGCCTCCTGCCGCCTCCTGCCACCTCCTGCCCGATATCCGTATCTAGTGCCTGGTTGCCATGTTTTGCTATCGCCAGCGTCCATGTCGTCGTCTGCTTCTCCTTTTTGGTCGTGGTGTGATTTTAATTGCTCGTACAAATGTTCTTCGTCGCGCATGCGCCGCAAACTTTTCGAGTGCAAATCTATGTAGCCCAGCTCCAAGCGGGGATTGGGCAAGACAAAGGCTGAGATTTATAGCCAGGCAGCCAGTCAGCCAGTCAGCCATATGTTGGCGCAGGAATTGTGTCCTATTTTTTCGGGGATACTGCATGCAACATTTTTATTTTTCTGTTCACCGGCGTGGGAGGAGAGCTTAGAAAGGCCTCATGGCAGACCAAGCTCCAGAGCTAGAGCTAAGGCGATCAGATCTTTAAATATGGTTAATAAGTAACCTAATTATAATTAATTTCCCACAATGAAAAGCACTTAAGCACTCTCCCATAAAGCACTTCCTCCCATCGAGCACTGCAAAATGCGCTGTCTTGTCACATTCCATGTCATGTAACACCTCGCATCATTGGCAGCCATTTGGGGTGATCAATCGATTCGATTACAGCCATTATTATGCCCACTAATCAGGCTCAGAAGCGATTGCAAAAGTCAAGCCCCGCAATCAGTTTTAAAATGCCACCCAAACGATGCTATTAAGCGTAATCTCCATAGCTTTGACGAAAATATTAATTAGAAAATAATATTCTCGAAGGCAATATATGCATACCCAGAGACATGAATGAAACCCAAGTCAGGCGCACACAATAATTAATAAATTATTTCCAGTCAATAAACTTTTTGAGTCCCTGGTTATTGCAACACACTCGTACACACTCGTGGAGCTCGGGGGAAGGAGGTCGTTGTGGCATCCACTTCGCCCGCGGATGAGCAAGCGCCGCACCACAGAAACACAGTCTGTGGCACAGTCGTCGTCCCATGTCAGTTCATTAGGGTCACTGAGACTGGGAAACTCACAGCGAGTTGTGGAGTTTGTGCTTCATAAAAATTAGTTGGCTGTAAAATTGGTCAGACTGGAGGAGAGTACTATTCAAGTCTCGTAAAATCAACACAAATTGAATTGCACTCCATTCATGGAAATCGGACTGAACGTTCGCCGGTCAATATATTCATACTTTATGGCTGCAAGATTTTCCGAAGAGAAGCCTTCTCCGGGCAATTTCAAGATTCAGTTAGCACTCGAGAATCGAGGAAGTGAGTGGCAGGTGCAAGCTCACAAATAGAATTCTCAGTCAGGTGAGTTTTCATTTTCGGTGTGACTTTTAGCTGCTCGTAAACCGAAAAAGAGATGCAAGTGTTCTCACAACAATGTCTTTTC